CCCCTCTTCTCTGTGCCTGTTCCCTCCTCACCCACCTGGCTCCGACGGGCAGGGGTCGGTGATGTCCCGGGGATCCGCTCCGCTCCGCTCCTCCGCGCAGGGCTCGCTGTCGGCGGCCCGGCCCGGCCCGGGGCTGCCCCGTCGGGGCTTGGCTCTGACCAGGAGCGTGGGACTGCCCAGAGAGGTGGGGGCGCGGGGAGGGGGCGCACAGCAGATGTGGGGCCTGACCCCTTGGGGCTTGGTCTCTGCCGAAGGGATCTCGGTCCGATTCATGGCGGAGAGGGGCTGGGCGACCCTGGGCCGCGGCCGCTCTTATACGGGCGCTCCGTCCCGGGAGGGATCGTTTGTAAGTGCGAACGCACATCAAAGTGGGAATCGAGCAGAGATAACAGCTACCAGCGAGGAGGAGAGTTCACACGTCTGGCAAATGTCTACAGCCCTTGGCTCCAGCGCGTCTGCGGGGCCGGGGAGACCCCCTTGAAGTGCAAAGCTGCCCCTCTCCCCTGGAGGGCAGGGCACGGGCAGCCCCAGCCCCGCAAACGGGGGTCTAAAGACACCTGGCTCCCTGTTCAGTCGCGGGGTCCCACACTGCACAGATGCCCGAGACCCACACCCACGGGGCCGGGATGAGGGTTAAAGAACCTCTGGTAGAGCCTGCCAGCCCCGCCGTCTTTTTCCCTCCCTGGGAAAAGCCATGGGGAGCCAATGTCCAGAAGTCCCCATCCACGAGGCTCAGCCCGCACTCCCCGGGCCACAGCCGGGCTGGGGTGAGCAGGGCCTCGGGCCGTCTCAGCTTGAACTTGGCGCCGTCTGTCTAGCCAGAAAACCCATCTCCCCAATCGTTTAGTGATCAAAGCACTGAGTGAGCAGCGGAGCTCGCACCTCATCAGCTTCATACTACCCCAATCCATATGCCTGTTCCCGAGAAGGACGCTCGGTGCCCTTGTAATGCACGGAGGATACCAAGACATCTCCCATCACAGCTTGGCTGGGGGAAAGGGGCATCTCGGCAGCTCAGCCCGTCTCCAGGTTCTTCTTTTGTTCAACTTCACCGGGCTTTTGGTTATGCCACTAAAAAATACGACACCGACCACGAGCACACCGGCAGTAGCGATATTTGAATAACTCACATTCTAACCCTCTCTTAAAGGAGAATGGAAGAGAGAGCCGATCCCTCAAACTGGATAAATGCACTGATAGGACCTCAATTTCAACGACGATTCCAAAATCCTCAGTTACTGCTCGCATGCATCACTGCAAGGAGTGTACACCATAAACCTGAGTCTAATAGGGCCTGTTTCTTTCTAAAATAAAGCAGTAATCTAGGTTCCCACACACATGGGCAGTGTGAGGGTTTTGTTGGTTTTTTTCTCTTAAAAGAGAAAACCTAACCCCCAAACCTAAACCCTAACCCAAACTAAACCACCGCACCAGTTTATTACAAAAATCATTTGGAAGAACCCCCTCATATTCGTGCTATTCGTTTCTCATTGTCTCAGGTGTTCCCGTAACTCCGTGGATCGGGAATGGATAGAGGGTTATCGACCCCTCCCGATCCCACCAAGTCTTATCCCCACACTGGCCCTGGGGAGGGATAAAGCCCAGGCACCTGAGCAAGGCAAACACCTTGCCCAGCCCACAGAGCCCAAGAGCTGGATGCCTCCTGAATCTTTGCTTGCAACACCATCCCCTCAGGGCGGGGATGGGAATGGCTCTTGTTGCCTCGGCACAGCCCCGACAGAGAAATTGCCCTGCTCTATGAGGGGTACTAGGCACAGCCACTGAAGGAGTTTGGCTTACTGCTGCCACAAGACTGTCATTTCGGCTGATAGGCACGAGCCAATGTAAATGTTCAGCTGAATACAGCTGGATCCCACCCTGGATCAGAACCGCATACCTGTGAGTGCCCCTGACCCAACCAAAACAACTGTAACACGAATACTTAAAGCCTAGACACATTTCAGTCAAGCAGGGATGGGTCGCTCACGCAATTTCTGAATAAACCCATGTGTGGACAAATCCAAGCAGAAAAACTCATGTTCTGCCACGCAGAAACTCATTCACAGCAAGTTGTCCTCGGTAAAGCAGTGAGTGCTGTCTGCAGAGCCTGACTACCTTCCCAAAAAGAACTTTAGAGACAATACACGAAAGCCACTGATATTCAGGAGCTCCTAAACTGAGCACATCCCTACCCAGCAAGCAGCGTGTGCCCTGCTGGAAGCAGGGCAGCCTCCTCCACCGTTTCTCCAGAAGAAGAAATCTGTGCCGAGGCAGGCAGCCTTGGGTCCCCCATGCCCCGCAGGCCCCTCATCCAGGCACACGGAAACACCCCGGGACTACCCCTTAGGAGAGACACTTCACCCCCAGCTGCCAAAACTGAACCAGGCACGAGATGACCACTCAGTGCTGTGCCAAAAGAGACCAACGTTTGCATTGATACATTATGTGTCTTATAGAAGGGCACTATTATTAACCCTGAAGAGCTGCTGCCATTTTCTCCCTCTCCTTTGGCTGGGAATGCAGGGAAGCAGCTGGCCTGCCCCACTATTTGCTGAAAGTCAATGAAAACTGATTTCTTATTTTATTGGACTCCAATCTGAATTACCTGTTTAGCGAGATATTTAAACCCAGCACTAGCACCACCACCCCCTCCCCCCTTCAGATGAAAGTAGCTGCATCTGTGGACCACAAAACCCTGGAACAGATGGGAAAAGTGTGGAAGGTGTTATGTGGCTATTGTAGTTCCCATTAGCAAGAGGTGGCAGCTTGAGAAACTTGAAAACTAACGACCCTGGGTGGGCAGAGGTGCTGCATCTGCAGTTAAATCTTCCCCTCACCTTGCAGTAAGATGGGGCTCATATGAGACACAACTTTACTTCCATTCAATTCTTTTCTATCACATGAAATTTTTACAGCATTCAATTGACGTGATAGATAAACCTGATGAAAAATAAATCTAAATTCTCAGGGGAAATGATGTCTTTTTCTATAGAATTCACTATACTCAGAATCACAGTATGTTGTATTATATTGAAAAATGGATGGATTTTTCTGACATGTTTTGTATTAAGAACATAGTGGACCCATTTCTCCAAATCACATTTCAAAATATTTATTGTTCTGCCTTTGTATGTAAGCCTTACAACCATAAGAAACATACTTGCTGCTTCAAGAAATGTACTGAAAACTTAGGCACTCTTGTAGCTCGGTGTGACACCCTGAATGTCAGTGCAGTGATTCATGGCAGGATGTGATAATTACAGATACGGCGGCTGTCAGGACCCAGTGCTCTTCTCATGTGGGCTCTACAAGACTTCTAAGGACAAATGGTAGATTTCTCTCACTGGTATGCCTGGGAATATTTCATCTGGGGTTTTGTGCATACATGGAATATAAACCCATGGGAACAGGCAGGACTGCAGCAGCTCTACAGCATGAAGGTGTTGCCTTTGGAAGGTCCAGCCCATCCTTCAGGCTGCAGCATCTGCACAAGACACTGGATACTCGTCCTTTGCCAGATGCTGAAGTACTTTTGTTGCCCAGGAATGCTGTTGGTGTGCCAAGGCTTTCAGCAGACCATCACTTTGATTTTGCATGAAAACATAAGAAAAAAGGGGCATATTTTGCCAACAGAAAAATAGTCCTTCCGAAGGGGAATAATTGCTAGCATAGTTGGGCAAATCTTCATGTCGCAAATTTTCTATCTGCTAGCTATGTCTGTAAGTAGACCATGGAAACAAACAAACAAACAAAAACCCCAACACAATATACAGACCAAACTATCAGAGCATTTATCATAGATTAAGAGCTGATGTAATAGGCCACGTCTCAGATAGTGGCTCCATCATAGGCAGATCCCAATTATATTTGTGAAAGGTGCAGATTTTCCAATATCTTCTTGACTGGAGAAGTGGAGATGATAGTGTGTGCAATAAAAAGAACTGCAACGCCATCCTCTCCACCATGAGAAAGTGAAAACCCCAAGAAACCCAAACCAAAAAGACCCCAACATTCGAACCCCTCAAAAAACAAGTTTAGCAGCACAAATGAGCGGGAGAGAGCCTGGAAAAGTGTAGCAACTCTTCAGGGTAAGTAAATTAATTGTAAGGAACGGGGTTTTAACACGGCTAAAAGTGCAGCAAGAGGAGTTTGCAGTGTTTCAGGAGGGGCCCCAGGAATCCCAGGCGCACAGGAGCCGCAGGGCCGGGCTGGGCTCCTGGCCACTGGGCGAGCTGATGGCTGTTTGTACCCTCCGCTGCTCCCCTTTGGAAATGCTAACTTGGTTATTCAGCGTCTCCTTTGATGTCCTGATAGGTGCTATTAGATAGTCAATTAGGCATCAACGAGATCGATTGTTTGGGAATAGATGCTTTTCTGTTTGAAGTATCCGTGAACACTAACAGTGCCATCACCCCGCCGCTCCTTTGCCCACGGGAACAATGCGGGCTGACACACAATAAATGACAAATGCCACTGACTCAGCCGGCAGCGCTGCACCCTCTTTCCCTCCCGACTCACACGCTGCAAGCCCAGACATTCCCATTCAGCGACTGTGGGAGCAAACACGCATTTTGCATTAAAAACGATTTATCGGGGAAATATTTTTGTGTGCTTTGCAGAACTAATGGACAAAGCACCTAGATAAGTTAAGTACTAGTTAGCTCGAGAGAAACTAGTACTTGAATTCTATGCACGCCATGGTCACACTGCCTGAGGACTTGTCACCCCTCCACAGTTGTTCCGAATTGCCCAAGCAGAATAACTAAGAGCAGAAATAAGAATTAAAGCACTTAGCCTACCCGAATACAGAAGAGACACTGGAATTAGCTCCCTACTAGGTACTATTAGAGGATAACACTAGGTCGAAGACTAGGAGTTTTAAGACACAAATATAAAGGAAGAGTAGTAAAATTTACACAGAGAACATGTCGAGACCAAGACGTGTGTCCTCTTTGTTCCCCCCACCCCACTTCGGTGGGATTCATCAAGTTAATTCTCATCTAATTGAGTATCAAAGAAAGAGATAATGGGCAGCAATTAGATGTAATGGCCTAACAGTGCGAGATCTCTCTCGATTAGCACACAACGCCGAATAACTTCAGCCAGTTTGTAAAGAGGTTCGTGGAGTGGCTCCACCATGTCTGGGAGCTGCAGGGGGTGATACACCTCCACCCTATTCCCAGTCCCCGGATGGCTGCTCTGGCCAAATTGGGACGGGCGGTTGGGAGCGCGGTTCTGTTGGCTCCCCCGCCCCGCGGTGTTAATTCAATCAGCTTCCTCCCCCTCCGCGCACGCACTGCAGGGGAGAAGGGCTTTGAAGTCAGCGCTCTGGCAATTTTCCCCTCCCGTCCCCTTCTCCTCCCCGGGGAGCCCAGTTTCCAGATTATACAGCCTCTTCCTCGAGAGCCGTAAGGCCGGGCAGTTCCAACAATTTCACCCCACGAGCATTAAACTACTCCTCCCCAGCTAATCGACTCGGCT